CCCCCCCCAGCCCCCGCGCCACCTGCCGTGCCCCCCCGAAAGCCATCCCTCCCCGGGCAGCGGCGGGGGAGCAGGTTAGCCCCTCGGTACGGTTTAGAGCTGGGAAGCGGCAGCAGCGAGCAGCTCCCCTGGTCCCCCCCTCTGCAATCCGGAGATCGCGCTGGAGCTCCCAGATCCCTGCGGGCTGCGGTATCGCCCCGCGCACTTGTATCATAGCTTCTGGGAAGCTAAGAAGTTGTTCTCCCTCACTTGGATAAGATGAGGCTCTGTAACAGATCGAAATGATGCCACAGAAAATACCAGCCTTCTAGAAATTAATCTTCTCCAGTCCCGATTCCTCTAACAATGAAAATTCATGTATGTAGAATGAGAGTAATTAGGCAAACAAGGACGGTGAAGTTTTCCAAGCGGCCCCGTGCTGCTTCAGTAGTTCACTAACACTGGAGAAAAAAACAGTTCGCTGCAGAAAAGTTCTCAGTGTCCCCCACCCTCTGAAAGTCCTCTCAAATCTGTGGAAAACAGTTTTCCACGCCAATCTCATCATCATTAGCACATCGCAGTGGATGAAGCAGAACTTAATCAAATTCAACCCATCTGCCACCAAAAGAGAACGGTGGTTTCTGGAATTCCCCAGCTACCGTGGAGCACGTTGCCAGCGCCCTGGAGCCCTTAATAGTCACGCTGATAACACAGGTATTCCTAGGGTTTGAGAGCAGGTCTGGGCGTGTGACAGTCGTGGCCACTCTGGCATCCCTGGGAGAGTGATCCCAGGGTGAGGAAGGCGAACGGGAAAGCTGCAGGGCGGGGAGGGAGCGGGGAGCCCCGGGGATGTGCCGCTCGGGCAGCGGGTTCCAACCAGGCACAAAAGGTGGCACCAGGCACGTATAATGCAGACTAGCAAGACCGATGCCGCTCCCGGCCATGCCCAGGGGAGATCTCCTGCAGCCCGATCAGCCCATGGGGAACTGAAATCACTGGGCGAGAGAATGAGTCACCATCGGCGAGTATCAGGTTGATACAAGCGCTGGCCTGGCTTCCAGCCGCCAGATCTGCCCCCACCCATCGGGGCAGGCGAAGACAAGACAGCATCTGCGAGGAAGGTGGTGTTGCTGGTAGGCTAAAAGCCGAGGAAGGAAGGAAGAGTCTTAGGACAGCAGAGAAATTGGATTATTTCCCTTCGTTATCGAGGAGGCAAGAGAAGGGGAGGCTCGTTAGAGCTGAGGAGTGGGTGCGTGGGGCAAAGTAGCTGGAAGAAGAGGAGGTATGGAGCAGTCACAGCAACATCTGCCCAGAGCTGGGCAGTTCTGGTAATGCACTTGGATGCTGGCTGAAGGGTGAAAATTCTTTCTTTAGGAGGAGTGTGAAAAACACCTATTTTCCTTGCTGTTGTATCCCACTTCTCCCCGCAACGAGTCCACCGCGGCGTCTGCCCTAATCCCAAGCACACGCCTCTTCCCAACAAGCAGGAGAAAAACCAACCACATTTTAAGCCTCGGTAGCTGTGGGTTATTTGGAGGAAACTAGATGTAGCTCCCGCAGCAGCTTGTGTTCTCAGCTTGCAGACCGACGCGTTCGAGGGAGAAGGGGGCGCGGGGACGGCCCCCGGGGTGGCTGGGGCAGGAGCCCAGGCTGGGGCGGCCGGGGCCCGGCAGCTCCCCTGCGCAGCCGGCCGGCTCCTCGGCCCTGGCGCAGCCGGGCGCGATTGCTTTGAATGTTTTTGGCAAGCAAAATTGGTCTTAGGGACCTTAAGTACATGACTTTTAAAAAAAAAAAAAAATTAGAAACCAAATGCGTTAAACTCGAAAGTTCGCATTTTCAATCGTACTTTCTCTTCTGTAGACCAGAACATTCCTAAGGAAAGCCTTCACTGAAGTGAGCGTTGTTCTGCTGGACATGTCAGTTCTGATAAAATAGCATGTTTAGATGAAATTGTGTTTTACTGAAAATGGTTTCAACCAGCTGTGGTTTGGGAAAAAGTTATTCAGTGATTTACATAGGTTTCCAAGTACATCTTTAGCACTACTGATATTACAGTAAATACATTTGGTGGTGCATCATCGTTCCTTATTTTTACTATTATTGCCAAATTCTTCTAGGGATTCACACACAATAAACTTGTGGAAATAGAGGAAATGCTTCTCATTTTCAGAGCTGATTTTTTAAAGTAGATTAATAGAAAAAACGGGGTCAGTTCTGATCACAGGACATGGAAAGGAAATATCAACCAAATGTTTCTTCTAAACAACTGCAAATTATTAATTTTCAGTGACGTCAGGCACGGCCCGCGCCGCCTCACAAAAACGCCAGGAATTGGTGAACTTTGGCACTCAAAAAAGTGTCCGTGGGTACGTGCGTGTGTGCGCATTGCTCGGCGCACGTAGTGGCGAGAACAGCATTGGCGCGGGCAGAGGGGACGGGCACGGGCCGGCGTGGTTGCGGCCAGTGGCGCTGCCCAGGCTCCGAGCCGCCGTGACTAACAGCGGCAGCGGGATGGCCGTGGCTGTGGGGAGCAGCATCCATGCAGAAACGCTCCCAAACTGTAAAGTGTTACATAGCAACAAAATACCAGCTGAAACACAGATGGAAATTAAGAAGGAATGCAACGGGAAAAATCCCTAAATCCCGTTTACACTTGAGTGCACTTGGGTAGGGAGGACGGCATCGGCCGGGGTACGGCGGCTCTCCCCGGGCGGGCGCCCGTCTGGCAGGGCTGTGCCCCGCGTGCGCTGCGAGAGGACATCGGGCCCCGAAAGCGGCCTCTGAAATTCCTTCCGAAAGATTTGGAAGATTAGACAAATGTTGCTCATAAACATAAACTGTGCAATAAACAAACTTGGTGTAAATAACTAAGTAGAGTTTACTCGCTATTGAGAGCCCCGCTGGCTGCTCTGGTGTGGAAAGCCATTTTAAATTGAAGGTTTGGTTAAAGAAAAATGTACACAAAGCTGTATGCGCACACCCCCCTGCACCCCACCCTCACACATACCCGCTTGCCTGCAAGCCCACATGAACCCCCCCCAGCCCCCAGGCGCACCAAATCCTCGTTAGCTAACTTGTTTATTGCTAACCACAGCCCTTGGAAACTACAAATATTTAATTTCATCTGGCATTGGAACAGATGGGAGGCATCAGGCTCCCAAAGAGATAAAACAAATCTGTGGAAGGAAGACTAACGCAAGCTTGGGCACGGGTCGGGGAGCGTGCAGGAGTCTGGCGGCCACGTGGGGCTCCTCAAGGCATCGGTGGGTTACGGGGGCTCCTGGGGGAGCCACTGCACCCGGGGCACGATGCCCGGACGGGCGCTCTTAGGGATGCTCTAGCCACCATGCTCCAGCTCCCTTCCTTGGCCAGGGAAGCAGGGCTGTGTTCATGGGCAGGGAAAATGCACCAAGGGCAGATGGTGAAGCAAGAGCACCCATCGCGCCCTCCATGGTAGAGCAACCCCAGGAGCTGGTGTCAAGCCCTGCCCATGGGCTTGGCAAGGACACCCCTGGTGCAGGTGGAGACGGGGATATTCCCACCACAATGGGTGGGAAGGAGCAGCGCTCCCGCAGCCGTTCCTCTCCGGGGTTTGCCGTGCGTTTCTGTCGTGACACCAGTGCCGGGTCCTGGTCCAGATGCAGTGGATGGGCACAAAGAGTGATGGAAAAATCGAGCCACACGTATGCGTGGATATAGGAGAGAGGGGCTCATTTAAACAGGCATGACGCTGAGGTGTGTGGGAGGGGAAATAGCATCAATAGGAATGTTTGAAATTAAGCCAAGGGAAAGACAGCTGCATGGAGGAACTCCACCGCCAGCCGGTGTAACCCTTTGGGGCGCACGGGGGTGTCGCTGCCTCCCCTCCGTGCCAGTTGCAGAAGGGCAGACCCACAGCAGCTCCAGGAGGGCTTCGCTAGCAGAGGCTCTAGCAGCTTACGTGGCGGCTCCGAGGACTGCGTGTCCATAGCTCCCGATGCCATCCTGCGCCGCGGACAAACTGTTTCCCTCCTCCACGTGTGCCCCTGCTGCAGAGCAGCTCCTCATCCGCCCGGTCTCGGCGCCAGGGCTGTCGCAGGCGAGGTACCAGCGGGACTCTCCATCTCAAAGGGGAGGTGGCGTGCAGCGCGGCAGTGCTCGGGGCACTCGGGGCTCCGGGGGTTCGCACCGGCTGTACGTTTGTTGTTGCAGAGCGCTTTGCACGGCAATAAAAGCAGGAGGTCAGCGACCAGGAAGTCTTTATCCCGAGGCGCTCCACAGCTCCGGCTGTCCAGGCAGCCACGCTTTGAAAAATAAGTTTTAAAGTAATGTCAGACTGATGGAGAATGAACCCTGTGGCCTTTGCAGCAGCCCTGGTGTTCTTGGTTGGGGTGTATTGAACAGATGGGTTCTCTCAGTCACTCTGCGCCGTTATAATAATCCTAATTG